GTCCCCACTGCAGCCCAAAGTGTCCCCATTCTGTCCCCTTGTGTCCCAAAGTACCCCTGCTGCACCCAAAGCAATCCCTTTGTGTCCCAAAGTGTCCCTATGGGACCCAAAATGTCCCCACTGCAGCCCAAAGTATCCCTGCCGTGTCCCCTCCTGTCCTGAACTGTCACCTCCGCACCCCTGAAACCTGTTGTGCCCCAAAGTGTCCCCTCTGCATCCTAAGTGTCCCCACCGTGTCCCCTTGTGTCCCAAAGCACCCCCTTGCACCCTAAAGTGTCCCTTTGTGCCCCAAAGTGTCCCCACTGCATCCCGAAGCATCACCGTCCTGCCCCCTCATGTCCCAAAGTACCCCTGCTGCACCCCAAAGCATCCCCTTCCACCCTAAAGTGTCCCCTTATGCCCCAAAATGTCCCCACTGCAGCCCAAAGTATCCCTGTCTTGTCCCCATCCTGTCCCCTTGTGTCCTAAACTATCACCACTGCACCCCTGAAACCTCCCATTGTGCCCCAAAGTGTCCCCACTGCATCCCAAGTTTCCCCATCCTGTCCCCTCGTGTCCCAAAGTACCCCTGCTACACCCCAAAGCATCCCCTTGCACCCTAAAGTGCCCCTTTGTGCCCCAAAGTGTCCCCACTGCATCCCAAGTGTCCCCGTCCTGTCCCCTCCTGTCCCAAAGTACCTCTGCTGCACCCCAAAGCACCCCCTTGCACCCTAAAGTGTCTCCTTGTGCCCCAAAATGTCCCCACTGCAGCCCAAAGTATCCCTGCCGTGTCCCCTCCTGTCCTGAACTGTCACCTCTGCACCCCTGAAACCTCCTGTTGTGCCCCAAAGTGTCCCCACTGCAGCCCAAAGTGTCCCTGTCTTGTCCCCTCGTGTCCCAAAGTATCCCTGCTGCACCCCAAAGCGTCCCCTTGCACCCTAAAGTGTCCCCTTGTGTCCCAAAGTGTCCCCACCGCAGCCCAAAGTATCCCTGTCCTGTCCCCTCGTGTCCCAAAGTACCCCTGCTGCACCCTAAGTGTCTCTTTGTGCCCCAAAGTCTCCCACTGCATCCCAAATGTCCCCATCCTGTCCCCTTCTGTCCCAAAGTACCCCTGCTGCACCCCAAAGCGTCCCCTTGCACCCTAAAGCGTCCCCTTGTGCCCCAAAATGTCCCCACCGCACCCCAAAGTGCCCCCGTTGTGTCCCCAAGCACCCCCTTGCACCCTAAAGTGTCTCCTTGTGCCCCAAAATGTCCCCACTGCAGCCCAAAGTATCCCTGCCGTGTCCCCTCCTGTCCTGAACTGTCACCTCTGCACCCCTGAAACCTCCTGTTGTGCCCCAAAGTGTCCCCACTGCAGCCCAAAGTGTCCCTGTCTTGTCCCCTCGTGTCCCAAAGTATCCCTGCTGCACCCCAAAGCGTCCCCTTGCACCCTAAAGTGTCCCCTTGTGTCCCAAAGTGTCCCCACCGCAGCCCAAAGTATCCCTGTCCTGTCCCCTCGTGTCCCAAAGTACCCCTGCTGCACCC